AATTGCATCAAATGCAAATATTTAGCCAATAGCTTTTACTTTCCTTCAATATATTTTCAAAACCGCTTCTATCCTTGTTTCCACATGCTAAATGTGGTTTTGGTTGTGAGAGAAGGAATATATTTTGTATCAAAGCTCTAGCGGCTTTAGTGTGGTTCTGAATTCCCACAGTATTGCTCTGGCAGGCCAGATACTAATGAAATCACACGCTGGAGAGGGTTTTCAGTATTGCCAACCCCAAACATTCAAAAATAATGAGTCAGGCCCCCCAGAATAATATTGGCTTAAAAACCTGAGATTTTAAAAAATAGTAAGTGTTGGGCTTCTTTATATTTGCCTACTGAGGTTTGGGGGCCTTTAGGGTAACAATTTCAAACTTTTCTCTACAACCATAAAAAGTCTCAAAACTTACAGCTTTCATTTAAAAAAAAAAGTAATTCTCACATAATCAAATGAATTCAGAAGCAAGGGCTTTTAGAAAGACATCAAATACCACGAGATCCTTGATAAAAGTGTGAGAGTTGGCAATACAGGGTTTTGATCCACTGAAAGAAAGAGATGGTATTGATTCTTTATAACCAGAACTCTGATATTTTCTAAAATACAATTCTTCTGTCTCCTCTGGATGGTGGAAGAGACCCATTCAGCCCAGGGCACAGGTTAAATCTTTGGATAAAAGGTATGAAATGTATCAAAAACCAGCCAGCTTCTCCCTTACAGAGCCCAAACTCTGCTTTTCTTCTGCAGAGTATATGGACTTCACAGGAGAAGGCATTTCTTTTGCTCTGTAATTTCCAAGTGAGCTCTTTCGGTGTGACATTATATTTTGTAATCTGTCAGTTTTGTACAGCAATGTATATTTATAATTGGTGTAAAATCATTTACACGGTTGCCTGCAAGATATGTTCTATAAATTGCTAAATGGAGAACTATTGAAAATTATACGTAAAGGACAGTTTAAAGAAGCAGGAAAGAAGAAGGAATGGGAAACACAAAGAACTAAGAGTACTGCTCAAATAAGAGTGCCGCAAATTTTGGAAGTGTTCTAACACGTTCTGAAATCACTAGTAAAACTATTTCCTACACTGTGGGGGAGAGAGATATTGCACATATACACCCAGAGAAAACGGTAAAAGAGGAAAAGAAAATGGAGCAACTTTAACTCCATTTTTGACAAGCCATTGGAGCTACTATCCACTCAGAAGAACCTGCACATATAGGACTCCAATACTCCATACAAATACTTAGGGTCACAAACAAATTGCTTCAGATTGTTTTTTCTGAAGGTTCATGAAGCAAAAATAAAGAAGCAGCTTCTATATTCATCCTGCTTAGAGGGAAGGTTTATAATAAATCCTGTAAAACAGTAACAAAAACTAGTTTTCAGTCAAACATCTACTGCTCCTAACTCTATGACCAGAGCTCTGTCCTTGTAGAGCTTTTCAGATTATGGCGATAGAGATGGTTAACAGTTCAGCAAGGCCAGAGCGACACACTTGCAGAGTTCTTACACGCCATACAGGCAAGAACTCAGATTGCCCATTCTTCCCACCTATAAAGAACTCAGGTACAAATTCTTATCTCCCAGCTGTTACTCTCATCCTCCAGCTCCAACCAGACACAGGTCCCTGTTCCTGGAGAAGAAGGATAATCTCATGCTTAAGGCACTAGACTGGAACTCCAAAGATCTGGGTTCAATTTCCAGCTGTGCCAGTGTATTCTTGGGAAGTTACTTAACCTCTCTATGCATCAGTTCCAACCCTATGAAATAGGGAAAGTGAGACCTCTCTATTCAACAGTGATGCTGAGAGGATAAATTCATTAATATTTGTGAAGGGCTCAAATAATATGGTAATGGGAACTATAAAATCCCTATAAAAAGGGAGAGGAATCTCTATTTCCCACTCCCCCCACTACCTATACAGAAGCTCTGTTCTACCACAGTTACTAGCAACACCCCAGGCAAGTCCCTGCAGTGCAAGTTACATTGCAAAGTGCTGACAATAACATGCATGAAATTAAGAAGTTCTCTCACATTTCTGGTGGGGGGGAGGGAAGGGGCAGAATAAATCAGCAAGTCTCCACCCATTTCCTGCCTAGCCATGCTGCCCTTCCTCTCCAACAACCCCTTACATGATCCTAACATGAGGACAGAACTGTATCAGTGCCCATTTCTTCCACAGATTTTACACTTTTCTCAACAAGGCCCTGAATAGACAGCTATGGAACTAACCATTCAATGCCCAAAACGCAGAATCATAGACCAACAATTTAACAAGTTGCCATGCAGCGAATGGTACCAGTCCTGGAGGGGAGAGCCTAAACTAACAGTATGCATAGAGGAACCAAAACTCTGTTACTGCTGCTGCACCTTGGGATATAGTAGCAAAGAGCGAGAATGAGATTTTCCTTGCACTTTACAATGTGTATATTTAATTTAAAAGCAGGGAAACAATAGGTGGAATGCACCATCTATTCCAGCCCAGAGAAAGAGGAAAAGCCTGATTTTATTTTAGAGAAATTTCGTCAGCACAACCCCCTCTCTTTTTCTTCATGGGTCAGAGTAAATCTGGGCAGCTTGCCATTTCAGAACCAGACAAACACGTTAAACCTGCCTGTGACACCCACCCACGTTGCAGGATCCCACCTTCTCTATCCTTGAAGGTCTCATCACAAGATTCAGCCACTCAGGATGCTCCCCTGTTGCGCCTTGGCTGCTGTAAGATTCAAGTCTCACTCAGTGTGGATGTGGGGGGACAAAGGGGAGGTGATAATCCCAGATCACGCACATTTGTCATTCAGTGGCAACAGGCCCCCCAGCACAGAGAACTGCCAAATTTGCTGGGTCACTGCAATGGGATCTTCCAGAATGGATGAGAGGGAGTGATGAACCATCGGAAGGTGGCAGTGATACGGGGAGCTGCTAAAGGTCAGGAAGAAGGAAATGGCAGTTTGGAGCCTTGAGTATCAGACAAGTGTCGAAGTGGAAAAAAAAGTGGTACTCTCTGAAATTCCCACTTGAGACACCAAAATGAGACTCTACTGACAGCTCATCTTCATAGTAAGACAGTCCCTATCCTTTCCTGCATGCTTCAAAGTGATTTATTTTATACAGACAACCCATTGAAATAAACCAAATGGTTCTCAAACCTCTTGTTCCAAGCTGTCTGCAAACTCAAGCAGGTATCACTACATCAGTTACTCTCACTTCATAGTTTGAAAGTCTGCTTTGCAACCACGAGAGAGAGAGAGACTTTTCATTTAGAGGATGCTTTCATGGTTTTAAAAAGTGCCCAGATAAAAGAACAAGTTCGCCATGACCCAGCCCAGTTTGACTTCTGGATGCAGAGAGAGAGAACCTCAATGTTTTCCCTGCTATGTATATTTTGCTGAATATTCATGTTTCCCTACCACGAATATCATTATTATAGGTGGAACCTATAGTTAAGGTTGCTCAACACTTCCCATTATAAGAACCTGTTGCCAGTTGCTTATAACTTACCAAATTTTAACCATTCGGACTGAAATTTTCCAAGCTGTTTATCTGCATCAGGCTGAAATTTTTTTTTTTAAATAATAGCAAAAATGGTTCGTCCATTTCATCAAATGAAATCAGAGCAAAAGATGTTGCTTTGCCCATGTGAAAAAAATTATTAGAACCATTGAGAAGCTCTTGTGCCTCCATGCTTTGGAGGAGGGATTTGAAATTTGGCCGGGGGGTTGTGCTGGAGACAGGGATGTTACGGTGAGACTCTGATCAAGTTATAATCCTCTGAACAATCACAGTTCACGCATGCTCAGCAGAGACTCGTTAGAGTTTGGCATGCTCTGTCCCCTGAGAGCTCCTATGTACTGACCAGACTGTGTACATGCCATTCCCACAGCGTGATTGGGCATGCTCCATCCCAGTGTGGCAGAGGCTAAGCAGGACTTTCCCTGTAACTGCAGGTGCAGGGGCTGCTGTGGCACTGATCCCAGAAACTGAAAGCAGCCAGATTGTCCCTCTTGTGCTCTCAGTGCTGCCCTGTCTGACACACAGGCAGCATGGAGGAGGAGGAGGAAGCAGCCTTTCTGCTGGGGACAGAAACTGGACCAGGAGGCAAGGTAGATGGAGCAGATTAGGACAAGCAGTCTGATGGAGGAAGCCTGGGAGGGCAGGGGATACTGGGACAGGCTGACAAGGAGACTGGGTGCTGGAGGGAGGGAACTGGGACAGGGAGGGACTGCAAGCATGCAGGGCGTGGGAGGACAGCTCAAATGAGGAGCCAAAGAGGATGGAGATGGTGACTGGAACTAGCAGGGGAAGGAAACTGGGAGCTAGAGTCGGGGATGGGGAGACTGGGACCAGCTAGGGGAGGAGACTGGGATGAGGAGCTGGAGGGGGAAGAGGAAAAGAGAGGAGCAAGACAGCACTGGTACAGAGACAGGTTTGGAGGGGAGGAGAGAAGAGGGTGCCTGGAAAGGAAATCCAGCTTCCTGAGTCTCAACATTCCTCTGTTGTCAGTAAATATTACTGAAACCCACTGGCAAAGAGCATGTGCCTTATCCCCCTCTAGTGCTGGTTCACAGAGGATGACAAGTCTATGGAGAGGATGTAATTTCAACACAAGATGCTTATAGAGCATCTTTCATCCCAAGATGATGTACAAATTCTACAAACTATATGTGTGTGTGCGCGCGTGCACATACACACACAGGGGAATAGTTCCATTCTCCATCCACCAAATGTGTACGTCTCTCAGATTTAACACAAAAGCTATTTAACCCACAGCAACACCACATAACAGCTTAGAAAAGGACTTCTTTAACTACTCAATTTCACTACAAGAAATAATATTTTTTCTGTTGTGTTGGTTAGTTACAATCAATTATCCAGTGTAATGTTTACAACACTCCCCGGAAATATCAAACCGACTGTCTAGGCCATGCTGGTGGTGGGAGGGTGGAGTATTTCTGACAACACTTTCCCCAAGTGCTATAAACAGCTCTCAAACACTCACATTTTTAAAAGAAGGTATAGCTGCAGACTGAAGTAGTTTGCGAACAGCATGAAACACAGTGCTGTGGTTCCCCTCCGCTTGAAGCACTTGTTCTTCTAGAAACGAGACATGGCGTCCAACCATTTTAACAAATGCCTGTGGGAGGGGACAGAAAAAAAATCTAATGAGAATTACTAGCATCGGCACATTGGTTTTCAATACTATCCAGGCTACTGATCCAGAGTCAAATCGATGGCTTCAGACAGATGTCAGAATGCACTATTATTAATAGGAGTAGCAATAGGGATGCATTTTCAAACCCGGACTCTAATTTTCCACCTATAGCCAATAAGATGAGTAATTACTCACAGGGGCAAATGATTTATCGCCAATTTTTCCAATACACAAAAATTTTCAAATGCACAATTTTGCTCCTTGTTTGCAAACAGACTAGATGAGCACTTGCATACTGGCTGAAAATCTGACCATAGACCTCCAACTACATTATTTGTTTGCACTTGCAAACTAGTGGTCAGAAGACTAAATTCATTTGCACTTATAATTGGCTGTGGGTAGAAAACAGCAGAAACAAAATTATTATTAGTCTTAGTGACTAGACGGAGGTCTCTGAACTTCTGGCCTAAGACATCCTCTGATTTCTTGTTGAATCCAGTTGTAAGAGGCGCTGGGCACAGGAGTGTTCTAGCTGAATGATCACTACATCCAGATCCATAGAACAGTGAAACGCCAAATCAATCACAAGCAGAGAAACAGAGTCTCCATCTAGCAAGGACAGCATGAGTCCTACTAGACATCCTAGAATGCCAAATCAGAGCAGTCAGGATAAAAACAGCTCCCATCAACTGTAACATTTTTTTTTTTTGTACCTGCAGCCCAGTGACACTCAAAGGTGTGAAATTCTTTTCTACTTTTGTAAACATCAAATACAATAATACATCACTTCCCATATGATTCTTTCAGCTAAAGGCCCCCCGCTGGTCAGACACACATTGAAACTGCCTTTTGGAAAAAAACTGATCCATGTATCCAAATGATCACAATAGAGTGATCACTAAAACCCAAATTCCACTGTAATACTCTCCCACGTACACACAAATTGCTACAAGGCAGAGTTTATAGGACTGTCTTAATTGTGAGCTCTTCACAGCAGGTACTCTCTTATTTTATCTGTCTACAGAACCCACTTTCTACTTTGCTGAATCAAGGCTCTGAAGAGTAGCTCTAGTCTGAAAATAAATCCTGTACAAATGACACCTTCTTATTCAACAGATCAGTACCCTATGCGTATTTTGAGTTGGATCTGCTCACTTTGCTGGCAAAAGTGATTTTTTTTCTACTTTTTTACTCTAGTTAGCCTTGCAGAGCTACAGGAGAAACAAGAGGAGTTTACTTCCTGCTTGTGTATAACCACAGAATTGTCAATTCAGTTCCATTTACCAGGGACAGAATGTGGTCCTGCTACACCTGTGCAAACACCAGATGGCAAAGTTGTTGCAGAGGTGTCACTGAGGACAGAATCTGGCCTGCAGAATTTTTTAGTACTGGTTATAATACGAGCCAGAATGACCCTGAATTCATGTGATGAAATGGAGATTTTTTTTATCCCTACTCAGTAGAATCAAATAAAATAAGAGGCAGCACAGGTATCAACAGGGTGTAAAATTACTGTCCATCTTGAGAATAACCGCATCAAATACTCCATTTGGCTTGAAAAGTGTTTTCTAGGACCCAGCTAGCCAAGAAACAAATCTCAGATTGTAGCCCTTGGCAAAAAATAAGAAGTGGTAATCCAAGTTTGTTTTTTAAATAATTTTCAATTCAAATTAAACACTGAAGTAGTAACTATCGATAAAGAAATAGTAGGTGAAAGAGGGTTCTCTCACTGTTAGAGAAGGGAGGTAGGAGTCAGGGGCTCTGCCACTTACTTGCTTATAATTTTAGGCATGTCACTAGAGCAAAGATTTGCTAAGACAGAAGCCCAAATAAACTTAGGGTGTGATTTTCAAAATGTGCCTATGTCAATATTCAGGCACCTCCCTAATTTTCAAAAGTGTTGAGAACCCAATAGCTCTTATTGAGGTTGGGATGCTCAGCACTTTTGAAAACCAGGGTGGTACCTAATTGTCTTAGGACCCTAGCGTTAGACTCTTACTTTTGAAAATTTTGCCCTGAAGCTCCATGACTCAGTTTCCCCATCTGTAAAATAGGACTACCTACCAGCTTCACAGTTCTGTAGCTGGATATAAAATACTTCAGAGCCCTTGGATGAAAGGTGGCATAAAAGGGCAAAGAAATTTGCTCTGGAAAATGCAATGCTTTAAATACAAATAAATCACTTGCCATTCCTGCCCTCAACACTAAACCTCGTGTGAGGGGTGGGGGCGGGGAGAGTTATTTTGCTACTTTGTACAGGGGTTGAGCTCAAAGCTTGTGAACTGCCCACCTGGAATTGATGCCATGAACATTTAGCTTCTTCCACTTCTCCGAGTCAGTTTAGAAGTGATATTAAACATTATGTGATTTATCTTGTCATGTTTTAATTATATTCATCCCAGAGGCAACCTTGCCCTGAGCTGACACTGTAATTTTAATATACTGCTTACTAAATATGGTGAGGACATCATCTTAGTGAATCGTACTGGCTTCCCTCATTCAGGATACACCAAACACTAAAACGCTGCAGAAGAGGGAAGCACAGAGATATCTTTTACAAAATTACACAAGACTATTATCAACAAGCTGAAACTTATGGACATGAGACCTGACCTTTAAAAAAAACAACAACAACAACAGTAAACACCATGGCATAAATCCCCCTACAAGTCACAAAGACCTGATCATTATGGATACCTTAAATCTAATACTAGGAGTTGGTGAATTAGAAAATAAATGATTCTTTAAGGCCCAAATTCCGCAAGCACTTATTATATAAGTGCTGTATTTTAGGCCACTGATTTAAAACAAACAAGCAAACAAAAAACATACTGCCTGACGGAACAAAATTAGTTGCAAATATGCGAGCACTCCGCACAATTCCAGAGGAAGGGCAACCTCAGAAGCACATTCCCGCCCCCTGCCCCAAGAATGCAAATCTCAATGTAACAAACCTCTAATTTATCAATTTTGGCATAGATGTTGTTCATTTCTACCACCTTGGCTTTAATGAGCGGAATGGTCTCATCCAGGATCTGGGATGTATCGCTTCTAATCTGCACAGAAAACAAAAGAATCTCACAGCAGAAAGCATCATCATGATAAATACACAGCACCTCAACAGCAACTTTAAACTGACCATTTCAAAGCACAAGCTTTAGTAGGACAAGACGTAATGGTCTTAATCTGCAGCAAGAGAGATTTAGGTTAGATATTAGGAAAAACTTTCTAACTCTAAGGGTAGTTAAGTTCTGGAATAGGTTTCCAAGGGAGGTTTTGGAATCCCCATCATTAGAGGTTTTTAAGAATAGGTTGGACAAACACCTGTCAGGGATAGTCTAGGACTCTAGGTTTACTTGGTCCTGGTTCCCCGCAGGGGGCTGGGCTTGATGACGTATTTACGTTCCTTCCAGCCCTACATTTCTATGATTCTATGATTAATTAGGCAAATAACAAAGCACCCCATTGAAACAGCTATTGTTCTACCCAGGATACAAATAAGGAAACTGAAGTTATATGACTTTCCCAAGTCGTTCAGGGAGTCAGTGGAAGAACCAGGAGTAGAACCCATGATCTTCAGTGCAAGTCCTTGCCCCCCTCCCAATCTAACCACTAGACCCCAACTACTTCCCCACAAATCTTTTCTCAAGAGAGCTTTTCATTTTCTGTTCAGCAGTTCTGTCAATACAGCTAATCATGGTTAAAAATGTATTTATTTTCCTTCCATCCCCTGACTTTGATTTGATCTGAGAGGCGTTGATTCATATTGGGTGGAATACAATTTCAAATAGTTTTTGATAAGGATAACCTGTAGTTTAGCCTCCAGCTATCAGCCCTGGTAGCTGATGAAAAAAACAGGTTGATTCTTAGAGCTTGTCTACAATTAAAACACTGCGCCATTGCATTTCTTCAGTGCAGACACTACCTATGCTGATGGGAGGGGTTCTCCAATTGGCATAGGTAATCCACCTCCCTGAGACAGAATTCTTCCATTGACCTACCACTGTGTACGCAGGGAGTTAGGTCAGTTTACCTAACCCGCTCAGGGGGGTGGATTTTTCACACCCCTGACAAACGTAAACTGACCTAATTTTCTAGTGTAGACCCAGTGCCTTGGCCGTCACCAAACCCAATAAAAAAGGCAGAGACCATTTAAACTTAACTAACATTGTTCAATTTGTGCTGTAGAAAGGGACTAAGCCCAGAAATGTAGGAACTGTCATCCTGGATCAGACCTGTGGTCCATCTAGTACAGTATTTTGTCTGTAACAGTGCGCTGTATCAGATGTTTTAAAGAAGCGAGAATATCCATGATGCACAATTATGGCATAAACTGCACAGAGGAAGTTCCTTCCTAACTCCTGTCAGTTAGTGGTAACTTGTGCCCTGAAGCAGGAGGGTTTATACCCCTTACATACATTTTTATTTTATCTAATGGGAACGGTGGCTGTTTGTATTAACATTATTTGTAATACTGTAGGGCCGAGGAGACTCAGCCAGAGATCGGGGGCCCATTGTGTTAGGTGCTGTACAAACACAAAACAAAAGATAGACCCTGCTACAAAGACCTTACTGTCTAAGTATGAAAGCTAAGAGACAGCAACTAGATACAGAGAGATGGGGAGTACAAGAAAACGACACAGTATTGGCCATCATGATCAGCAGTGATATCAGTGCACCAGCAGCCTAATCATTTTCAAGTTTTTTGGAGGCATCATCTATATAAATGTCTGTTCCTTATTTGGAGTTCTGCTAAGCATGAAGTCAGTAAAAACTGAGTATTACCCTATTTGGCATATAAACAGCCTTCAGTGATTAGCTTAGTGAGAACAGATACCATACCTGTCCTCCAATGTTGGGACCGCAAGCAATACAGAGAATACAAAATAAAGTGAGGGATAAGGCAGGAATTGAGAAACAGCTATTCTTCCTGCTCTTCACTTCTAAGATCTAATGTATCTTGACTTCTGACTAGTATATTAGAAAATGAATCTATAAAATTGTACACTGCGCCAAATCATTTATATTATTATGCAGATTAGGGACCTGACCCCGCAGTCCTTACTCAGGCAGAGCCCCCCACACCTTGAATTGTCATCAGTGGGAGTTTTGCCTGAGTAAGGACTGCTGGATTGAGCCATTAGAGTGTGGAGGTTTGTACAGGCAGCAGCATATTCTTAAAAGTATGATGCTTGTTTCATTTTAAAGTATCAGCGCAAACCTGCCCCTCTCTGTGTGCTAATAGGTTCTGCCATAAAAAAGATTGCGAGCACTTCCAGAAAGGTTGTACAGTAGCAGTGAAAAGGCTGTAATTAATGCTTCTCTGCTTTTGCTGACTTCTCCCCTCCTAAATTAACAACAATGGAAGCATCAAAAGTAGCAGCAAAGGAACCAAAAAATGAAGGGCCCAACACAACAAGCGACACCCCAAACAACTGCTGCAAAGCCATTCATTCAAAAGGAAGCAGTGCTGTGGAAGAGGACTCTTGATGGGACTGTCTCCAAGCGGCTTTAACTTCTGTCCAGCAAAGAAGTGGCTTCTTTTAAGTGAATATGAGTGTTAAAGAAATTCCAGTTAACTTCAGGCCTTCATTTAACAAAAACAAAGCAGCAAAGCAAACAATGACATTAGATAAACGGCGCACAGTAGCAACACATGAACCAAAGGAACAAAAAGGGCGGCTGGGCCTACTTATATAAGGAATCTCGCTGGGCCTAAGTGGGATGGAGCAGAAGAGGGTTTACATAACCTCTGGGCTGTCATGGCTCTGGCTAGAATTATAATTGCCTCACTCTAGGAGCTCAGGGAAGCCTTCCCCAGAGGCATTTTCTGGCAGACGTTTTGTCCCAGAGGCTGAGGATTTTTTTTCTCCCCCAGGCCCTTTTCAGACCACTGGCAAACAAGGTTTTATTGGAACTGACTAGAGTGGAATTGGGGTCTTTCAGCTGAGGTGATAAGGGAATGAAGCTGTGCTGGCTGACCCTGCAGGAGTTTGCTGTGTATTTTGAGATTTCCCCAATTTAAACGTGCCTGCAGTAAAGAAACTTACACAGTGCTTTCTGGGGTGATGGATACTGGAAAAACTTTTAAGTGGAACTATTTTGGGGAAGGGTGTGATTTAACAAAATAGTTATACTGGCACAACTCCTAACATGAACAAATTAAATCAAGACTTTTCTTTGCATGGATAAACACTTATAAGAACATTATGCATGCGATGGTCTTACCATTTGGTCTGGTATGATGGTATGCATCAATGCATGCACCCATACGTACACATTTGGATAAGAACAACATATTATGCACATTATATCCGACAGAAAACCAGCCCAGACAGTGAGATCCCCTCAAAAGGGAACCAGATTCTCTCATTTCCTTTTTTAAAAGAAAGGTATTTCTGTTCAACAAAAATACAGAATGGGACAGTTAATACAGAGGAGTCTGGGGATCGTTTAGTTAGTGCCCTTTAGGCCAGGGGCAGACAGAACACTCTGCTACACAATATTTATAAAACACTGATTGGTGACAAGTTTGGGGTAAGTCATTTAATTTGCGTAAGATTGAAAATTGACCCTCATATTATCCAAGATAAGGCAGCAAACCATGTTTTCCAGTGTTGGTTAACATGAAGGAGCTGGGGAGAAACCACTTAGAGAGCCTACCACTAGATAACTACAATACATACACACACAGTTTGGGGATGTAGCCAAAACAACTAAGAAGTTATTCAAACCATGTACAGTGAGGGCAAAAATTATCACCACAGCAAGGTCAAAGCAGCCATGGAATAAAATCTAAATTGTCTTTGAGGGCAAAAACAAACCACTAGTACAAGATGCAGGAGAGCAAATTTTCCAGCAAGCAGTCAGTGATGAAAGGAAATGATATGCAAATATGATTCAAGAAGAGTCATTCTGCAGTCGTCTGCAGAACCACAGCAACAGAAAAGTTCAAGAGGAGTCAGCCCATAACAAAGAAGGGAAGTACTTCTCTTGGTATAGTAACCTTTTTCCAGCCAGAGAAAGCATGACTGGTCTGGAAATTCCACACGATAAAACAAGATTAATTTCCCCTACATGCAATTTGTTATACTTTACTTTATTGAAGATTAAACTGGGTGCTCAGCACAAGTACCAGAGCACAATGGTCTATAGGAAAAATCTTTATTCCCATTACTAAGCTTTGCTATGTTAACTTGGAAGATTAAAACGTTTTGAGCTTTGTTTAACAACAATTCGAGTCAGCAAGACTAATCTCAGGGAGGGAACAGGCTGAGAGCAATAGCCTAACACAGAGAGTAAACCGAGTAATAATGGAGAACTAAAACACAAGCCAGGAACGGCATGCAAGCTCCAAGTACGACAGCTATCCAGACACAGCAAAACCTAATGCTGCACATAAAATGGCATCCTTGAATGGGAGAGCCTTCTGTATCAAGGTCAAAGCCTTAGAACCAAAACATGCAGTGGAGTTCTAGTGGCATCAGTTAAATAAGAACTGTGCCAACATCGGAACCTTAGAACCAAAGCACACACTGGAGTTTAAAGGGTGCCAATTAAACATGGATAGATTTTTGATATCTTAATATTTTAAACAAATTTATAGTTAATAAATGAAGTCATATTCAACGCAGAATCCATGTGTGTGGCTGGAACAATAACTGGAAGTCAAAGATTATGTCCAAAATCTGGTAATCCCAGAGATGTATTTATTTGAAATTAGAAGCTATATCTGTAGGTTCCCATCCTCTGCTCTGGACACCCAACCCATGGGTTAAAACACACAAAATAACACAAAAGGGACTATCCATAAATATAGCCACCCTAGCCCTCAGTTTACTTTCTCCCCAATTGCTGGAAAAAAGAGAGAGCAAAGATGGGAGGTTAGCAAATGCAGGTTTGGAAAGATCAATGAGGGGAGTGAGTTCTGAAAGAAGTTGCCCCCGTCCTAACAAACAAACACAGAAAGAATGGATTTCCTTTCCTTTAGATCAAGGACATTCCAGCCTGGCAGCCTCTGCCAATTTCAAATGTGGCTGTAAGTCTTGGAGGGAAA